CCAGAAACCCAAGGCGTGCCCTCAAACCACAGAGCAGAGTCTGTGAGAATACAAAGGTGGATTTGGATTAACGGTTTATCCAGAGGTCTATAAAAATAATCAGAGGTGGAGGCTCTTAATCCTGATCTTCAGGAGCAGTTCAAACCTAAGTATCTTATTTAGCAAATCATCTTGATTTAGATGTTATATTTGAACACTCAGGCAACCGTATATGTTCATATTAGTGCATATCAAAGTGGGAAAAATAGTTGTTAGACCGTATGTCTAGTTTTCTCGGGCTGTTTTAACAAAGCCCCATAGACGAGGCAGATTCTCCACTACAGAAATTAATTTTTGACATTGCTGTGGTTGGGAGTTCTGAGATCAGCAAGCCAGCATGGTCAGGTTCTGCTGAGGCCTTTCTTCGATTGCAGACTAATGGCTTCTGGTTATATTCTCACATCGTAGAAGGGGGCTTGCTAGTTCTCTGGAATTTCTTTTATAAGGATTTAATGATAATTTCTTATAAATTGTAAGAATTAACTACTCAGAAGGCAGAGCCCTCATGTCCATTTTCTTATACAATGACCTTGGAGGGTAGGATTTCAACATACGAGTTTTGGGATGCTGGCACTCTTGTGTCTATGTTTTCCATTTAGAATATTGAATACACATCTAGGTATTCAAGGATGTCTCACTGTCCTATAAGTGATGTGAGAGCCCTCGGCACAGTGCTCCCTGCAGTGGTCAGCACATGTGTTGTGAAGTGTCATAGGTGTCATCTCATCTGTTCACCCAGACAATCCTAAATAGTCAGGTGTGATTACAATATCCCCATTTTATGCATGAATAAGGTAAGCCCCTTCCAAGATTGTTTTTATGCCTGGGTTGCAGAATGAATTATACATATAGGTATTCAATCTATCTTAGCTCTTTACCAGTTGTGTTATATAAATGTCCTGGTGTTAGGAAGCTAGTCAGCCGTGAACAGGTGAGCAGGGAAGGATCGGGAAGGGCAACTGAAAATCACAGGAGCCATAACTGACAGATGAGCACTTGGAAGAGAGGGCTCAGTATATTTAAAACCTCCCCCAGCCTTAATTAAGAAAAAAAAAACTGAACCATGTTCATTATCTCTTGTAACCAAGTCTCTGGGACCCTTTGTTTTCAATGAAACTGTGTCACAATCCCCAATCACCCTGATAGCCCAAACATCTAGACCCTCACAAAATTTGATGGGTGTAATTCAAAGAGTAATAAACTGATTAAAGGGACTGGAAATTGAGACAAAAACAGAGTCTCAATTTCCTTAAAATCTCCAACTCTAAGCACCACACCACCTTCTTCGAGGCAATCCCTGCGTTTCCTATGATGTCACTCAAAAGTAAAAAGGTGAACATGGGAGGGATTCTTATGAAAAACTGGAAGTAAAACTTCCCTGGGATTTTCAATTAAACTGGAAAGCAGGAGAGGCAGGAGTGTTTCTCTGAGAGGACCCACTCTGTCCCTTAGTAGTGTTCCCTTTCCCTGCATTCCTTCTATTCTAATAAACTCATGCCTATTACTCTGATTAACGTGTCTGAAGTCTTTCTGGCTTGATTACAGGAACTGGGATGTAGAGGGGACCTTGCACTGCCTCAGTTTTTCAGAAGTCCTTATAACACTCATCTCCGAGAATTTTATTTTTCTTCCACTCATTATACAATTAGCCCATTGTATCTGTGGGATTCTGCCTTTGCAGTTTCAAACAACTGCTATTTCAAAAATCATGGATTGGAAATATTCGGATAAAAAATACAGAAAATTCCTAAAAGCAAAACTTGAATTTCTCATTTGCCAAGCACCATGCTGAATTCATGTGATGAAGAGATTTGTAGGCATGCCCTGCTGCTGCCTCCTGCCATTCCATGGATCCTTCTTCTCTCTCTCTAGCATGTTTAGTTGACCATCATCTGTCTTCCTTTTGTCCTGCACAGTCAGAGATATGGTGGTGTCTCTATTAAACATGTACAAACTTTTATTCTTATCATATTATTCAAACAATACAGGATAATGTCTAGGTACCTAGCACCTGCATTGTATTAGATACTATAAATAATCTAGAAATGATTTAAAGAATATGGAAGAATTCCATATGTGTGATAATTAGATGTAAATACCATGCCAATTTATATAAGGGACTCGAGCACCCCTAAGACTTATAAAGGTTGGTATCTATGAAGGGAACATGGAACCAATCTACAGTGGTTGCCAGGAGATCGAAGTATAATAAATCAGGAGAGACAGAAGAAGAACAAGCACTGTTCTTGGTACACATTTGGGGCTTAATGCATGCTTGTTGACTGTGATGTCAGAGTTTTCTTGTTTTGTAGTTCTTTGAGTTCTCATTATAAAGTTTACTAGGCAATACAATGTATGAAATTTTCTAAAGAGGCAGCCAGATGATATAGTTGAAGCAGACTCTAGACTGAATTTTAATCCAAGTCACTTCCCTCCCATCAAGTTCCTTCAGAATATATGATATTCTTACCTTTGATCTTACTCCAGGGCTGTATTTATAGTCTGTTTTACAAATTCTTGTGACTCACTCATAAAGTCTGTCATGAACTGAAACTTCTAAAAATGAGAAAAAATACTCCTGTGTTTGTTAAAGTCATGGAAGTTACACCAAAATATTTTCCTGGTTTTCTGTCATTTATAAATTGTTAAGGAAGAGGTCTTCCCTACAACTTTCCAAATGGCAAAGTTTATTAAGATTTCATTAATAAGAGACATTAACAACAATGGTAATGATGATGATCCTATCTTTAGTACTTACCAAGTGCCAGAGATTGATTCATGCTTTATTTTTAATTTTTATAACCACTCCTTGAATATAGATCCTTCATTTTTTTGCCAGCAAAGAAATTGAGGGTAAGTGAATTTACTAATTATCTCAGAAACAGCAATACATAAATAATAGAGATACAATTTGCTCCAAGTTTGTGATCTGTATGACACATATTTGCATAAGAAATTAAACAAACAGCATTGTTTTTAAATGCCAACTTCTAAATATCCTGTCACCGTTCCCAGTACTTCTTCTAGGCTAGAAGTTCAAGGCAGTTACTGGATACGTACCAAATAACCAGGGAGTGTGTTTTCGATTTGGGATTCATAGAATATCAGTTATTAGATTGATTGTTGTTTACTGCAGCCTCTGGGAAATTGGTTGTTGCATGAATGTGTGAGATTCCACAATGAGACAACAAAATTACTAGCACACAGAAATGCCTGTAAAATTTATTTACAAATAGGATGCAGGAAGTGATAATTAAACCTCTGGATATTTCTTAGCCTTTTAAGAGTCAGACTATATATGATATCTGGAACAAATCACATGTCTGTTCAGTAATTTTATAGTTCAACTCAAACTCTCACTGGGCTAATCAACTGTTATTGTTCCTGTGGAAAATGGCCTTTAGTTTTCTTTCCATAATGCAGGAGATTCAAATAATTTTCTGCAATAAATACCTTTTCATGCTCAGGATTTTATTGAGGACTTTATTATTTTTCATATCTGCCTCTGGATTCTCAAATCCTTTCTGAATTTCTTCAGTCATCTTTGTGAGTGGGGATGGAGGGTGTATGTATGGTCTAGTATGTGGATACAAGTGACTTTCTTAGTTTTATATGTAGCTGAGTCATTATTAAATCAAGAGTTATAACTTCATCTTTCATGTTTTTGTCCAAAGAATTTATCAATAAACAATTTTCAATAAAATAAATATTTTAAGATATTTTTCTAAGTACTTCAATGATACTCGTCAAGGATGGGGAGGATTTAATAAAGATACTCTCCTATTTCTTACATTTTTTTTATTGGTGCATTATAGTTGTACATAATGGTGGGATTTGTTGTTACATATTCATACATGCACACAATAGAATAATATAAATTGGCCAGTATCACTTCCTAGTACCTCCCCCATCACTCCCTGTCTCCCACCCCTGGAAAGATGCCTTTTTCGATGGCCTTTAGATCTAATATAAAGCATATGCCTACCACTTCTAATAAAACCAAATAGCTAAAAGAGGAAGGAATAATTCATACATACTCCTATCTATACCTCTCTACCAACCTATCTAATCAGCTAGCTAGCTATCCCCATAAGTAGATATTCAGATAGGCAGATATATATTCATGTATAAGCATATTTGAAATCTGCAACAAAATCTAAAATGTTAACTGTACAAAGGTACAATAGAATACTACAGGAACTCAGCCATGTCAATGTTTATAGCAGCCCAATTCACAATAGGTAAATTGTGGAACCAAACCAGATGCCCTTCAGTAGATGAATGGATAGGAGAACTTTGGTATATATGCACAATGGAACATTACTCAGCATTAAAAGAGAATAAAATCATGGCATTTGCAGGAAAATGGATGGAGTTGGAAAATATAATGCTAAATGAAGTAAGTCAATCCCCCCAAAACAAAGGCAGAATGTTTTCTTTCAAATGAGTATGCTGACTCATAATGGCGACGGGGGAGCATGGGAGGAATGAAGGAACTTTAGATAAGGCAAAGGGGGAGGGAGGAGAAGGGAGGTGCTAGGGGATAGGAATGAAGGAGGAATAAGTTAGACATTGTTACTCCAAGTACATGTATGAAGACAGCAATGGTGTGAAAATACTTTGTGTACAATCGGTAACTTGAAAAATTGTGCTCTATATTTTTAATATGAAATGAATTGCCATCATGTAAAACAAATTAGAATAAATAATTTAATTTAAAAAAGAAAAAAAAACAAAATAAAACTAAACTAGACCAAAAGAAAAGAATTTTAGAGGAATATACTTGTCTAATCTATTAGAACAACATGCACTTATTTTTGAATATATCATAAATGTTTATGAAGACTATGCATATAATTACAAAGTGCTCAATACCAACTAGCAAGGGGCCATTTTTCAGATTTGAAGTTGATGAGTATTGGTGAATACAGAGATTTTATGTGCACTATCTATGATATCACCTCAACTATGAAGGGCTTCTGTAGCCTTCCTGCCTGAAATGGGATTGTCTACATCTTTCTTGGGGCTTCTCTCCTATCCTGTTTAAGTTGCTCTCACTGCTTACTTATGCACTAATCTTTCTAAGAAAGTTTTTTTACTTGGTAAAGCTTTACTGGATACAGTTTTGCATATTGAGAATATAAATTTTGGTATGTAAAAAAGATACCAATAAAGGATGTGGAGAATGATTTCCATATTACCTTGTTTCTTAGTGCTCTTGATAAGCAGATTGCTCTAGACACGGAACATTTTCTCATTGTCTTATCCAAAAGTTTTCTTTTTTTCAATAGAGGCATAATTACAAGTTTATTTGAAGTTCTTATTTTATCAAGTTATTGTTATAGATACATTAAAATATCTATTTTACTTTTTATAAAACATTTATTAAAGGACCAATGATGATCTGATTTCTACATACTGAGACTGAAAGAAACTCTGAACACATACTTAAAATGAAAACAAGGAAAAACAAATCTCTGTGTGTGTGTGTGTGAGTGTGAGAGAGAGAGAGAGAGAGAGAGAGAAGAGAGAGAGAG